AAAGGATGAGACTGTACAAGGAACATACAAAGGATGAGACTGTACAAGGAACATACAAAGGGGGAGACTGTACAAGGAACATACAAAGGGTGAGACTGTACAAGGAACATACAAAGGATAAGACTGTACAAGGAACATACAAAGGATGAGACTGAAAGACGATCTGAAATTATTTAAATATGACGATCCATAGGTTAAATACATCTTCTGTTTAAAAGATTGTTATTTTTACTGTCTTTTTAATGATTTTTCAAAGAAAGAAATAAGTTTACAGTTACAGAGAATCATAAAAGTAAGAAAACAGACAGCATAAATTCCGTACAGTCGTCTCTGAAGTCGCATACTTTGTGGATAACCTTGTATTTCAAACTTTAATTCTCATAGATCAAATAATCTAAGTTTTAAATATCAAAGGTTTACTCTATCAGGTTTCAAAGATATAAGGATTATAATATTTGAGTTTGTTGCAAAGACTCAATTTCTTTTATTTATAAAAAAGTAAGCTTTTTTTACAAATTCAGATTAGATCATTAACTTTTTTTACTACCGCCAATACCACAGTTTAAAAATAAAAGTTGCAATTTTTTATTTGGAATTTTGATTTTCAAATCTCACTACCGCCAATACCACAGTTTGAAAATAAAAGTTTAAATTTTATATTCTCATTTTGGAATTTCAAATCTCACTACCGCCAAAACTTCTAGTTTAAATGTATTTACATTTTCTAATTTCGAAAAAAAAGGCATTTGATAGTCTGAAAAGTCTCAAAAAAATTTACAAAAACTAGCTCTCAAAGCCTTCAATACCATTTTCTTTTACTTTGTACATAAAATTTTCGCTGAAAAAAGAAGGGATTTTATACAAATGAATAATTGAAGATTGAATTAATTTGCTGTGAAGATTTGCCGTCACAAAGAGCTAAAATAGAGTTCATGATTAAAGCGTCAAGTGTTGACATGTTAATATTTTGCATAGTATGCGTTATCTTTAGTAAACCTGTTTGACCATGTTTAACACTCCAAATACAGGGTGTCCCACAGCCACGAAACATCACAGTTTAGAGAAGACTTAAAGAATTAGCCTTAAATAGTTTGCAGGACCGGCATTCACTCGTAAATCTAATTTTGTAAATAAAATTCTAGAGTTAATTATCACAAAATACTTTATTCCTGGCATGTTATAATGTGACGTTCCTTTTATGTGCTTTCAATATGATCAGATTTATGGAGATTTTTGTTCACTTTTTGACAATCCGAACAAAATTCTAGATATAGATTGTATTTATTTTTAAACACAAAATACAAAATGATAATGTATGATGCTTCAGCTAAAAACAAAACACAAAAGAAAATTAGAAATGAACCAATTGAAAATATAATGTTTAATGATTCTGTTAAGATCGGTATTTGTTGAAATTTCAACTGAATTTACATGGAATTTACATTCATTGTGCATTTACAAGTAGATACTAAGTCAGCACTCAAATAATCAAAACATTTTTAGTATAGCAACATGGCGTATTTTCCGGGAGAAATTTTTTTATATTTTTGAAAAATTAAACGTTTTTGTAAAACATTGTAGCTAATCATTATCATTATCATAATTTCTATTTTTTTAACATACCCTAGACATTAAAGGAGCAAAATAGTTTAATATGTATATTTGTACTGCTCTCTATTGTGTTAAAGGTCCTCCAGATTTTATTATGTACTGAAAACATAAATTAATGATTATATGATTATACATAAAATAATATATGGTTATGCATAATGCGTGTTACTATTAAAAAAATTATTTTATAAAAATGCTTTCTACAGTTTTATTTTTAGAAGAAAAAAAATTCTTAAAAGTATAAAAAAAAGTTCTCCAGTAATGCTAATATGATTTCATAAAATTCTGTTTTACCATTTAAATAAAAGGATTTTATGAAAATTATATCTACTTTACACTGATTATTTAATTTCTCAAAAATATAAAAAATGTTCTTCCGGAAAATACACCTTGTTGCTATACGTAGCGGTTTCTGTACGTTGGATTTCTATAAGGTTTGACTCCAAGAAGTAGGTGTATAGAGGGCCCTCTACACCTACTTCAAGTCATCTTTATTCTGTCATGTTTCATGGGACACTCTATATATAATTATTTTTTTTTTTGTAAGACATTATAATAGCATATTATAAAGGACATTTTTACCCAGATATAAAAAATGAATTGGAAAATATTTGTCATAACAATGTTTGGTTAAACTGCATATATTATTATTTGACAACCCCCCCCCCCCCAAACCCAACCACTTTTTCAGTATCCATCATCTATATCTGGAGGAGTATGCATAATCCGTTATGGATTCTATATGTCTAAATAATCCCAGAATGACTAGTTGAAAAGATATTCCATAATCCTGTTTCCTCTTATACTGCAATTCATAGACATTTCTACAAGACACAAAAATGTAAGGTTTTCCATATTACAAGTAATTTAATACTAAGGAAAATTTTATTAAATATTTTCAATAAACCATATTTGTGCACTAATGCATGAAATGTATGCAATTTTTCTGATATCCAAAATAAAGACGACATTTGTTTGTTTCTGTCTTCTGACTTATATCAAGTACCCAGGGGCGTATACAAGGCCCCAGTTAAGGGGACCAAGACCTCAACCCCTCTTGAAAATTGATAACAATGTCGTAAAAGGTGAAGCATCCCCTCACCCCTCCGATAATTCTTGTTTAAGCCTGGCCTGTCTGTATTGTATGTAACTCATTAATGGCTAATTTCTTAGACGTTCTACCATAGGTAGAACAAAGATAATATATATATTATCTTTGAGGTAGAACCAAAGTCACACTATGTTACGCTTACCAGAGCAGTGTAGATAGATAGATACGACCTATAGTTGTACCTTTTGCAACATGAATAAGAAATCGGCCTTAAGTTAAATTCGTGACTATAGTTTGAAATTATGCTCTATTGCTAATGAAAACCCAAATTTTGAATTTCTAACATTTTAGCAATTGTTTTTTTTTGTTCATTGCAGGATATTTTAAAATGGATCAACTTTATCTATTGAACTCAGGGGGATGATAGTTCTCTACCTGTGTGCTTAATTGGCTTTAAGTACACTTACAACTGTTTACTAATAATGATATACTATAGGTTAGGTCAGAATCTGCTTATAATAATCAAATATGCAGTACGCTCTCGGTATAGTTTTCGGCCTATACTTTAGTAAAGGATTAGCGTACATCATCACTCTATGTACTATAACCTCGTTGATTTAACTACACAATTGTTTGCTATCTGAAATAATTGAAAATATCTCAGTCATGCGCTTGCTTGTCTTTTCTGCAATAAATTCACAACTCGATTTTTAAACGAGCACGGATGGAAATTATCAAAGATATATTTATATTAACGAGATTGAACGCGTTAAATAAAACCGTTGATAATTCACTCTTAGAATTACGTTATACTATCCTAAATCATAAAAGTTTAAAATTATGGGAAGAATGGTGTTTTATCTTTTCTATAAAAATGTGAAATGTTCAGATTAAATTACATGATGAAAATTGCATGTTTACATTGAAGAATGCATTTTTATGATAATATTAAAATATATTCTTTCAACAAAGAGAAAATCTAACCTTAACAGAACCCTTTTTATTAAATAAAAAATCTTACCCTTCGTTTATTTAAAGCCTGATTATTTCCTCCTCCTCCAGTTATCTAAAGTACGAATAGAATATTATTAAATTTAATTAATAGATTAATCTAATCATTTCAAATCTTAATTTATTTCTAAAATAACCCTGAACTTAATTTCAAATTTTGTGAAGTTTAAAAAGAACTTTTGCATCACAGGAGGCAGCTAGCTCAAGCTTTTAAAGGGAATGTTCGCAACAAAAATGATAAATTATGAATTTAAACACATTAATGTTTTCTTCAAAATTTGATGTAAATCTCCCAAAAATTCGTGGTTGGTCTACCAGAGTTCATGCAAGATAGTCAACAAACGATTTTTTTGGGAGTTCAAGCGGCCAGAGAAGGAATTCATTCAACACAAAACCCATTTCTGAAATTACATTTCTTCCTCTCGCTCTCTGCTCCCTACATAAAATCTTTTTTTTTTAGAAAAACAACACTTTTCAAAGTCCAACATTTTTGTTAAAGGAAATATCATATTTTTGTTTTTTTGGATTGGGAGTTGATAATTAAAATTTGATAAAAGGTATTTCATTTGAATACGCTGTTGTAATAATAAAGATCATTTTCTCAGACATTTTTTTCTANCCCCCCCCCCCACCTTTCCCCTCATCTCTTCTTCTCTATTCTATTCAACTATATAAGTCAAGCAATTATACGTCACTAAACACTTTAACATCAGGATCCAAGCCAAATCTGTTTAAAATAAATTAATATTTCTGTATGTTGATTAAAGTTTTAAAATGACTAAAAATGTCTTCAATTTAATTTCTTTTTGTTTGTTTGCATATATGAAGAAGAAAAAACTTGTTATTCATGTATACAAATTATATATTATTTAAAGAAGTTGTTATGACAGACCTAAGAAATTATAAATTTTACCGAACCATTTACATGCCAGAAATATGTCATAAAATATGGAAATAGTTAAAACACAGTTTAGGTCAGATTTGGAATAGGTCCAAATGAAAAAAACCCAGCAACATTTAAAAAACTTGTTATGCATTACAATTAATATAACTACACAATCATGCATTTAAGTTCAAGCATGCATAATCCATACCACAAAGTATAAATTTATGATTTGAATAACCAGGAGTTAACCTGAAAAAGTTATTTTCCTAAATGATATTATATTGCTAGATACCTTTTCAAAGCCTTACAAGTCTCTGAGCCCTGTAAATTTAAAGCTTCTACAAATGTCTACTGTAAAAAAAGAAAGTATGACTTTATCCAATGTTTTTTGATTGTTTAATATTATAGAATACACAAGACGCATGTATTTTTCAAAAGATTTTTTACGAAGGACAGTTTTTATTTGTTACAAATCTTTTTCACAATTTACAATTTAAAATTTTCTAGATAAGTAAGAAGTATAAAACTACAACACAGGGCATGTGAATCCGTTGGAACTGGTTAGAAAGTGACTTAAAAAATGCTTTTGTTTTAAAGGCTAAATTTACCAGTTTCCTTTAGGATATGTTATCCTTTCGTATGCTAACTACATATCTAAATACTTGATTATGAACTGTAAAACCATATCGGAGAAAGAGTGCAATCAAATTTTGTGATAATAATTTTTCAATCAATTACAAACCAAAACTACAAACTGTGAACTTGTAATTAACTATTTATTACTTTGTTAGATTGGTTCTTGGATTTGTCGTCTTCTCCTAGCGTTGGTTCAGTATCCTTAGCCAATTGTTGCGCGGCACGTTGCTTGCGCACCTTACTAGCTACAATAGCGGCCATTTTTATTTAATTCCCGCCTTTTTTCTCAGCTTCATTCTTAATTCTATGTACTGCAGTACATCTCATCTAGATAATATCAAAATATTACAGAACCAACCTGCTTAGATGATAAAGACACCATTTGAGATATATAACATTTTGGGGTTCATTGGATCTTGCATGAAGAATTTCTATTAAAACACAGCTTTTTAATTGCTTCCTCACGTACGTAATTTTGATAAAATGGCANCCCCCCCCCCTCGTGTTAAATGCTCCCAGGGCAAACTTCTGCTCTGCAAGGTTTGGTCCGGGAGAGATTTATTAGAGGAGGGATAGATTGAATAAAAGGATACGAGAATACAACCCGGACAGTGTCTACTACTCACATTCAGATCTACACAAACCAGATATTTGATTTAATTATTGACACGATGAGACCTATGAAATAGAAGTTTGTAGAATGAAAAAAACGAAAATTCAGCGAAACTATACTATTTTGGCGAAGGAGAATTGAATAGAAGGAGAGGGCGATAGGGTTTCCGTACACTTTGCTGTGACGTTTTTGGACTGCTGAAGAACTAGTTTTTGCGTAACAACTGTTGTTACGCAAAAACTAGTTCTTCAGCAGTCCAAAAACGTCACAGCAAAGTGTACGGAAACCCTATCGCCCCCTCCTTCTATTCAATTCTCCTTGATTTTGGCCATTAGCTTCAAATTGGTAATAGAAAAAAACACTGGGAGGTTGAGATCAAGAAATAACTGCGCCTGCCACGGACGATAAACTTAAATTTTTTGTAAGGATCTATTTTTTTATATGACAAGTCAAAAGACCCTATAACTACCTTAGAACAGAACCGTTTCTTTCTTTGAAAAGAATATTAATGACAACCTTCATGCAGTATATCATGTACTGTATGTACAATGTATACATGCATTTTCTTATAGAGAAGTGTGCATCAAAATACACTGCCTTTCTAAATCAGAGATACTTATGAGCAATTAGGTAATAAGGCAAGGAAGGTTAATTGCTGTTGCGTATTCTCTGCGTACATATCGAGACCAGTTCTCTCTGGGCTGTGTTTGTAAACAAGAATAGATGCATCAGTCCTCCTTTAGTATCCGATGAGAATAAAAGCTTTTAATTTTCATAATCTTGATAATTTACATAAAAGTTTCCTACGACCAGAATATTTCATTGATTTCTTATGTTAAAGATGGATCCCATGTCAGACTTTACAGCCCAGAGATAGTACACTGCAGTACACAAAATGAATACACCTCTGAAATAACTATCTTTACATTATAATTCTTTGCTTATGAGGAAGTCCGGTTTTGGTAGGTTGAAATACAGTCCTTAATAGACTCTTAAATTATTGAAACCATCAGCGATTCACACTTTCAATGATATTGTTTTCACTTTTTTCGAAATTTTGATCAAACATGCCATGCTAGAGTAAGATTAAATGTTATTATTTCTATGACTGTAAAACATGCCCTAGCTGCCTTAAAGTCGACCCTATGCTTTAAATACCCGGTTTGTTTTTGGTAGGATAAAAAAGCTGTGACCAGGACCAGGTTATAAAAAAAACTTATCAATTAAAAAAAAGCAATATTGAAAGTTTAATACATATAACAGGTCGTTCAAAAATGGCATTTTATGGTTTTTGTCGACATAATTATCATTATATTTTCACATTATTCCTTGAAAATTTTTTCTGCAATACTTTAGGTAATAATTTAAATAGAGAAATTCATCATGTTTTTTGCGTCTTTTTTTCCTTTATTTTTCATTCTAAGTTCTAAGTAGGCGAATATATCAATACAATGGAGATGGATTTTTATTTAAGTTTTGATTGTCAACAAGCTTTTTTCGAATTATAAGTTTCTCATTTATTCCATGTTTATGTTTATCAAGCTGTTTAAAAGTTTGATTTAAATCAAAATTAAAATCCAAAGTGGTCTTCATTGTATTGATATAATCGCCTACCACTCTTTTTTCAACCACGCCCGTCCCATTGTTTTATACAATGTTTACATGGTGTACATGTGTACAGTTTTTCATTGTACAATTTTTAGTACAAAACTTGCTGGTTTTGAGACAATAAAAATAGTTTTTTTTTTATCAAGTTTCAGCAAAAGCTGAAAATGAAAAGAGTTGGTTTCACATAATTTGAAAAATCAATTACACAAATAGTATCCCACCAGGTAATTGCTAATTTCAAGTAACAAGTGTGTTAGAGGTGAGGTAGAACCTAAGACTGTGTCTATATAAACTGGACGGTGGAGCCTCAAACCTCAGTTTATATATCGTATATATATATATGGTTAAAAGGTAAAACTTTTAAATATAACTTTTTTAGATTTTTCTTAAAGAACTGGCAAATTCACAAGTATTTGGTCCTTTATTCAAAGAATATCATCAAGGGGAAGGGGGCGTATAAGGGTGGGGCAAGGGGGGTTGTGTTTTGTTTTGTTTAAAGGAGAGATTGAGTACTACTAGCTTGTAAGTTAAATGGTTTGATGTGTACCTTTGAATCTTGTATTTAGGACTCATATCCAAAAAGTCAAATGTTTTGAATTTACAGTTCAAATTTGACCCCTTTTCCCATAGGTGCTCCTAAGGGGGGGGGGAAACATGTTTTGCCCCCTAGATGTAAATCTGTATACGCCCTTGAATATCACATTACACGATTCTTTAAAACATGCATCTCAAACCTTGTTCTATTAAACACTGTTGAGTAAATTGAAACTTGCCTTGGAAAAGCACTTAGAATAATTCGGACAATTTCAATTTCAAACATGGACTAGATTAGAATATGGGCTAAAAAAGCACAATTGTTTTATTTTGTGAGAATAAAATTGCTTGATTCATTTTTAGAAATAAACTCACTTACATTTAAATTATATAGTTTGCTAATTATCTAACTTTATATTCTTTTTCTTTAAAAAAATCTTTAGGAAAGTTTTTTTAAATGCTTGAAGTTTAAAATCCACCTGCCCCTTGTAGACCTGCAGCCTTAATTATCAGGAAACATGCGTCTTATACTCAATGGAAAGAAAGAAAAAATTCTTATTCAAAGTGAGAATTATACCTTTTGAATTCAAATTTAAAGTGGGAATTATCCCCCCTTGAATTCTTATTCCAAGTGGGAATTATGTTTTTGGACTGCTGAAGAACTAGTGTTTGCGTAACAACAATAACAAAGGCAGCCGGTCTAATGTAAACAAACATGAGTAAGTATACGGTGAATCTTCACCTAACGCCAGAAATGCCAGATGTTTGTTTATCATTTGTGTTATTGTTTACAAGCTTTATTATTGTTGTTACGCAAAAACTAGTTCTTCAGCAGTCCAAAAACGTCACAGCAAAGTGTACGGAAACCCTATCGCCCCCTCCTTCTATTCTGAATTATCCCCTTTTGAATTCAAATTCAAAGTGGAAATTATCCCCCCTTGAATTCTTATTCAAAGTGGGAATTATACACCCCTTGAATTCAAATTGAAAGTGGGAATTATCTCCCCTTGAATTCAAATTGAAAGTGGGAATTATCTCCCCTTGAATTCAAATTGAAAGTGGGAATTATCTCCCCTTGAATTCAAATTCAAAGTGGGAATTATACCCCCCCTGAATTCTTATTCAAAGTGGGAATTATCCCCCCTTGAATTCAAAATTTAAAGATGGAATTATCCCCCTTAAATTCAAATTTTCCTGTAGGCCTCTGGTATATTGATTTTTTAAGTGTCTGTATACTGTGGGTCCGAGAAAACTATGAAGTAAGAAGACGACATTTAACTCAAGCGATCTTGTTTGTTTTTAATAAGAGCTCGAAAATCAAAATGTTTTATGTACTGTACTGTGCAAAATTGCGGTGGTTCATGTTCTGTGGATTATCATCTATATACAGGGTTACCCACAAAGGATGATACCTCAGAGGTGATTGTACGGAATTGTCTAATCCGTTTTTTTGCGTTCAGGGTTCCTTGTAGGCCAGAACTGGGTTATTTCTCTGCCCTAATCATTTAGTAAACCATTACATTAATGCAGAAACTTATTTACTTTGATTTTATGTTAGGTGTTTGTTTGTTTGTTTGTGTCCAATGGACGTCAAAACGGCTGAACCGATCAGACCCAAAATTTGTGTGGGTCTTCAAATGTCAATAAGCAATAAGAACGCTTTTAAATACTCAGTTAAACAGCATCTATTGGAAAGATTAGAAAACTTTTTTTGTAATAAACTTTTCTGTTATACCTGCTCTAGACTCTAAATCTTAAGGGTTAAACAATTACGAATCAATTATTCCTTTTCTGCCCTGATATCTTCTGGAATTTGTTAAGTAAATTTTGGTGTACAGATTGTAAAGGGTGGGGGTTTTATCTAGTTATTAACGATCTCATCATCTTTACTCATTTATATAGATTTCCAGTTAATCATATATTCAGAATTGATAAATTGAAATTTGTAAGGTTATGTATTCATTGGAGTCCAGATTGTCCTGATTATTTAATATTTACAAATCATAGTTGAAGCTTAGAGGTCTCTGTTCTCCTCTATCCAATCCTCCTGCCCTACCTAAACCATCCACCACCACACCGTCAATACCGTATCTATAATTTTTCTTTCTTTTATTATCGAGCAACTGGGGAGCTGATATGAAAACAGCTACAGCTATAGCAGTTCTCCAGACGCAGAACATTAATCAGTTGACAATTAATCTACCACTTGTAATAATAATCTTTAACAATGTTTCTGCGTAAATAAATAATATTTGATTTGAACATTTTTGTTTGTTTTCCTTTTACACTGTACACCGAGAGAAAATGCTCACAATTGAAATATAAAATGGGCGTGAAGCGCCCTGAAGCCTAGTTATTCTAAACTTGAGTATATCAGTCGTCTTTAAATAAGACAGTTTTATGGGTAGCACTTTATATTTTAGTTGTTTACAAGAAAATCTGGTCTCATACAAATGATTTCTTCAATGTACTTTTATGTTTGGGTGTACTCAAGTTTCTTTGTTTTGAAATCATCAAAAATATATGTTTCTCTGTCGGGTTTTCAGAAAAATATATAATCTTAAAACAAACAATATTAATAGTGAATGGGTTTGAAAAACATGTGTTGATAAATTAGGGTGAATCAAAATCACATAAACCCCCTGGCTGCTTAGAAAAGTTGAAAACAATTAAAAGACTGCAGGGTCGTCTTAAAACACTTTGATTTTTCCTCACTAATCCAGATATACTTTTCGTAGCCCTAAACATGCAACTTTTAAATCATTTGTTTTTAGCTTTAGTCTGTAAAAAATTATCTTAAAATAAGTCACATAGATTTTTGAGTGAGAATTAGCAAATATTTGATCACTATGTGTAATATCATCATGAAACGATTGGAGCTAATTTATAATTTCTCTTTTTTATTTTACTCTAAATCAAGCTCGACGGAACATACAAACTCCCTGGCTGCGCTGTCAAGAAGGTAGGATCGACGGATCATACAAACTCCCTGGCTGCGCTGTCAAGAAGGTAGGATCGACGGATCAAGCAAACTCCCTGGCTGCGCTGTCAAGAAGGTAGGATCGACGGATAATACAAACTCCCTGGCTGCGCTGTGAACAAGGTAGGATTGACGGATCAAGCAAACTCCCTGGATACGCTGTGAACAAGGTAGGATCGACGGATCAAGCAAACTCCCTGGCTGCGCTGTCAAGAAGGTAGGATCAACGGATCAAGCAAACTCCCTAGATACGCTGTGAACAAGGTAGGATCGACGGATCATACAAACTCCCTGGCTTGCGCTGTACCGAAGGTAGGATCGACGTTAAAAATAAATGACACATTTTTTTGGGGTCCAGGGATATAGATTTAGAATTTAGAAAATTAGAGGTTGAGTCGAGTTATCAGTTCAGATCTGCCTATTTACTAAAGGCTATTGACTTATGTATCATTTATACAAGTAACAAATACAAATTTAGATAATTCACTACTCACTAAGTTTACGTTAATTCCCATGGAAAAATAATGAAAAAGAATAAGCTGTATTAGCTGTATTAGCTGTAGTAGCTGTATTAGCTGTATTAGCTGTATTAGCTGTAGTAGCTACGCACCACAACTTCACAAGGAGGGAAGACTATTCATGTTCACGACCACAGAATTTGTGCAAAATTTTAAGTGTTTGTCCTTTTAACCAAATTTTCAAAAGTTTGTGCAAATTTTGTCTTCGCGCAATCCAAGGATTTAATGCAAGGAAAGTTATTTCAGAGGTGTACGCATCTTTTGTACTGCAGGGTACTGTCACTGGGCGATAATGTAAACACAAGACGGGTGTCGAAGCCTGGCATGGGATCCATCCTTTAGATATTCCGCCCAGAGAGAACTGATTTTAATATGTACGCAGAGTATACGCTTGCATTACATTCTTCGCGCAATCTATGACATAAAGTTCCAAATATAAAGAAAGGGAAGATTCGAATTTGTAGCGAGTGTTCTGTTCCTATAAAATAACAATGCAATAATTCTAATTCCTCAGATTAAAATAGAAGGAATCCAAACTATAACTTATATTTCTATTTTTCCATGGGAAAATCTAACTTTTATTAAAGCACACTACTAAGTGCATTTTTATGTACATTATTCTAAGTACAGTGGTCGTAGTTCATATAAATACAATGATGACGACTTTCTGTTTAGGAAATAATAATGAATTAGAAATTTGTTGTTGTATTTGATGTATGCATATCCCAGCTACAGGACTTTTCAGAAAACATAATATTTAAGTATATTTTACATTATTCGATTAAATTTAATTTCATATTTAATTCCGTTTATGGTCTCCGTAGTATAAAGCTTATTGTAGATATCAAAACTAAAACTGTCTTTATTGTATTGATACATACGACGACCATGTAATCTAATTCTAACCTAGTTCTTTTTACACCTTGATAGAATGCTTCTAACTCAGAACTTTGTCTGAAAAATGGCAAAACACAAAAATATTTAGGATTGTGGTGAAGGATGGTGCTCCTTATACTTGATCTTTCAAAGTCCAGAGATTTTCTACAAAAGTTTTCTTTTTGTCAAACATTGCAAGCCACCCCAGAACGTTTGACGCTTTCGTGTTAAATATTTCAAAGATATTTTAGAAAGGTTAACAACTACAACAATATATTAAAGATAAGTCTAACAAGTTTAATGTTCGTTCATGAACGGCGAAAGCTCTGAACAATCCCAGTTTAAGAAAAATTTTAAAATTTCTATTTTAAGTTTAAAAAGTCTGGACTCTGACTACGCGTTGAAGGAGAAGGATTTACCTCATTTTCATCCATTTTGAATTCAGGTATTAAGGTTGGATCAAACTGCCATTGTTTCTCTATAGATTTCTTGTACTTCATGTACGGTATATCAAGGGGGTTGAACCGGACTCCAAATGGCCGAATATACGGATAAATGATAGGTTCTGCTCCCCGGGCTGAAGAAATTTTTTGAGTAAAAAATCGTTGATGGCTTAGAATACAGGGTGTCCCAATAATTCTGACAGCTTTTAAACAGCTAGAACTCTGTTCGTTTTTTGAACTTTTTACAATCTGTCAAAAGATGTGTGTTGAATATTTTTAATATAACAAAAATCCTCGAAATGTATTGCAAAGAATCATGGTTTAGGTCTACTATGTCTAGCAAAAACCAGAAAACAAAATTTCTGCAAAATATTTTGCTGAAATCTTTTGACAGATTGTAAAAATTCCAAGATTAATGGGACGCCCAGTAGGTTGAAAATAAGTGTTAGCACATGAGAGAGATGCATAAATAAATACATATTTTAACCATACAATACTTTTATTAAATTGTAGCGACATTAACCATCTTCTGTTAAAGCAATTAGTTTTCCTTTCCTTCAAAAACTGTGATTTTAACATTTTTTTTGTATCTTTAAATAAAAACAACTTATCAATTATTTAGATTCTAATACATTAATAATATCATATTATTATCATGAAATCCTTAGGCTTTATTGATTCTTTTCTTGGCTTGCCTAATTTTTCTCTTTTCTCGCGTTCACGTTTTTGTCGAACAGCTGTTGCTCCAAACATCACTTAAACCTTAATCCTGAACAGCCGACAGTTTAAACCTTTTAATTCAGACATCCTGGATTATAACCGTATAATCCAAACCTAATCTGAATTTAAACTAGCTATATCTTGAACCTTCGTGATAATCAGGGGCGGCCACAGCCAAGGGGGGGGGGGTGAGATTTTTAGGTACGCACTATGTGTAATATCATCATGAAACGATTGGAGCTAATTTATAATTTCTCTTTTTTATTTTACTCTAAATCAAGCTCGACGGAACATACAAACTCCCTGGCTGCGCTGTCAAGAAGGTAGGATCGACGGATCATACAAACTCCCTGGCTGCGCTGTCAAGAAGGTAGGATCGACGGATCATACAAACTCCCTGGCTGCGCTGTCAAGAAGGTAGGATCGACGGATCATACAAACTCCCTGGCTGCGCTGTCAAGAAGGTAGGATCGACGGATCATACAAACTCCCTGGCTGCGCTGTCAAGAAGGTAGGATCGACGGATCATACAAACTCCCTGGCTGCGCTGTCAAGAAGGTAGGATCGACGGATCATACAAACTCCCTGGCTGCGCTGTCAAGAAGGTAGGATCGACGGATCATACAAACTCCCTGGCTGCGCTGTCAAGAAGGTAGGATCGACGGATCATACAAACTCCCTGGCTGCGCTGTCAAGAAGGTAGGATCGACGGATCATACAAACTCCCTGGCTGCGCTGTCAAGAAGGTAGGATCGACGGATCATACAAACTCCCTGGCTGCGCTGTCAAGAAGGTAGGATCGACGGATCATACAAACTCCCTGGCTGCGCTGTCAAGAAGGTAGGATCGACGGATCATACAAACTCCCTGGCTGCGCTGTCAAGAAGGTAGGATCGACGGATCATACAAACTCCCTGGCNACCGTATAATCCTAAACCACCAGGACTACATACCGTATAATCCTAAACCTCCAGGACTATAAACCGTATAATCCTAAACCTCCAGGACTATATACCGTATAATCCTAAACCACTAGGACTATAAATATAAACCGTTTAATCCTAAACCTCCAGGACTATAAACTAAGTAAAAGGGATAAACATTTGAATGCATTACTATTTTCGCTTGAAAGTTTTTCCGTTCAAGTATTCTAAAAATATTTTTCCTTGTTTGCGATTGCATTTACACGTGTCTGAAATATTTGTATATCTTATTTTTAGAGGGCACTACATTATATTATGTTCTTTAAGATAATTTAATAAAGTAAATAATCTGATTAGCAAGGGAACACAGGAATCAGATCATTTCTTTCCCTACATAGTACATACACGAAATTAGAGTACAAAATACGTTTGGAAAATCTTAGGAATGAAAAAACAATCGTCTCCTTTGTATTGATATATTGTGCACCTACCACTGTATTAAAAGTATTAAAAGATTAAAATATTTTAAAAGTTGAACATAAAAAGAAATTATACAAACATTGCAAAAATTTATTTAAAAATGTGAGTTTCTAAGTTAAAAGTTAAGTTAAGTTAAAAGAGGAAAAGGAAAAAAAGACGCAAAGAACAAAGAGATTTCAATTTTGCAACTTTTCTGTGTTCACTTATAAACTTGTAATTTGAAAAAGAAATCAAGACTGAGTTGAAAGTCGTCCTCATTTTATTGATATAAACACCGACCCCTGTAGATCTCTAGTTCTCTAATTCTTTAATTCTTTACTTCTCTACTTCTCTAGCTTTGTAGATTTATAGATCTTTAGTTTTTTAGTTCTTTAGTTCTTTAATTCCTTAGTTCTCTAGTTCTACAGTTCTCTAATTATCTTGTTCTCTAGTTCTCCAATTCTTTAATTCTATAATTCTCATGTTTTCTAGTTCTCTAGTTCTCTAGTTCTCTAGTTCCCTAGTTTTCTAGTTCTCTAGTTCTCTAATTTTCTAGTTCTCTAGTTCTCTAGTTCTTTAGTTCTCTAGTTCTCTAGTTCTCTAGTTCCCTAGTTCTCTAGTTCTCTAATTCTCTAGTTCTCTAGTTCTTTAGTTATCTAGTTCTCTAGTTCTCTAATTCTCTAGTTCTCTAGTTCTCTAATTCTCTAGTTCTCTAGTTCCTTAGTTCTCTAGTTATGTCTAGTTCTCTAGTAATGTAGTTCTCTAGTTCTAAAGTTCTCTATTTCTCTATTTCTCTAGTTATTTAGTTCTCTAGTTCTCTAGTTCGCTAGTTCTCTAGTTCTCTAGTTCTCTTCTCTAGTTCTCTAGTTCTCTAGTTCTCTAGCTCCCTAGTTCTCTATTTCTCTAGTTCTCTTCTCTGGTTCTCTAGTTCTCTAGTTCTCTGGTTCTCTAGTTCTCTAGTTCTTTAGTTCTCTAGTTCTCTAGTTCTCTATTTCTCTAGTTCTCTTCTCTAGTTCTCTAGTCATCTAGTTCTCTAGTTCTCTAGTTCTCTAGTTCTCCAGTTCTCTAGTTCTCCAGTTCCCTAGTTCTGTAGTTCTCCAGAACCTTTGATAGACTAGAGAGCAGAGATGTCCAACTTAAACTGTAGATGAATAAGATATTCAGATAGATTAAAAATCTGAAATTTTCTCTTTTGATTAAAAGTTTTGTTTTTAAATATAAAACATTTTGGAAATCTATTAATACATATGAAACTAGGTTTAAAATGTAAGATAAAGATATTCTTGGATTTATTTTAAATCTTCCTTGATAAAGTTTGTATTAAGTTGGTTCCAATCTCTTAATTGAAGAGAGTTTTACTTTGAGATTTATATTCAGGTTCTCAGAGACCGATGTCCAGGTTTTTTCAACTTAAAAAGATTTTGTGCAACGAGAAACACACATTTTTTAGCTATTTAAAACCTGGGATCTCTATGTGCACTTTTTAATTATGTTATAAGACTATTGTGCACTTTATCACTGACGATTACTTCCTAACACATTTCATTATAGACGTGTTATAAAGTTTTCATCCTGTTGTAATGTTAAACTAGCTGTATGATCGGTTCTATAATTTTCATTGGTTCACAGATTTACACTAAATATTCAAAATAATTCCAAAACTTTTTTCTTCAATTTATATAAAAATATAATTAACACTAACTTTTATTTTTTTTGCTTTATAAAAAGGCTACAATATATAGAAATTACTACTGCATCAAAACAAGATAGAAACACAAACAGTTCATAAGATTACCTTTACATAATTTTATTTTGGCATGATGTGTTTTAAAGGTTTTGAACTTGAATTTTCTCTGTATCTCAAAGATTCTTATCTTTTTAGATTATATTTTTTCCCAAGCTTCATCTTGAGCCATCTCGATGAAGGAAAAATGTCTATCAAGAATAATAGTGTAATAGATATATAATTTATATTACATTCAAAATTTGTCTGAATTGCTTTATTTGATCTCATTTATTCTTTGTTATGGCACCTCTATTTATTAAACCATGCTGTTCATATCGTGCTTCAAGACCTTATTAAATTCCACGAATACCAACATATTTATTATGCTTTCTCTCATCATGATGAAATATTTTAAAACACATAGTACATGTGCTTACATATCATACATAAAACATATATGTATAGTAAGTATATTTTCTAGTATGGTACAAACATTGTACACAACACTTCATTGATCTTGCAAATTCAGAAATGCATGAATGATACGTGTAGAAAACATATATGATGCATGTAAATTGCGTAATACATGTAAAAATACATGCAAAGTTCATACATACGTACATGTGTACTCAAATGTTCTATATGATTGTTTTGATTTTTTACTATTTAGGGTTAGTTTCAAACCACAACACAGTTTTGAAATGCAATTAGTTTTTCCTCTTGCAGATTAATGCTCAAGAAATAGGGTTATTCACCCAGAGAGGCGTGCAGTTTTTTATGTTTTTTTTCTCGGGGTCACCTCAAAAACTCACCCACCCACACTTATTTCCCCACTTTCTCCCTTGCAAGCAGGCGATGGTTAATAAAAGGTGGGGGGGGGGGGGGGGGTTAGTTTTTATTAAAACCCTCTATTTCTTCCGTCAATGAAAGCTTAGTTTAGGGTGGGGAAGGGAAGGGTTAAAGGGAGTTTTTTCTTTATAGTCTTTCTATTGCCTCTCCCATAAGCAACAGACCCCCTGCCTCACTTATATCGCCCCCACGAAATGTAATTTTAATGACGCCTCTACCTTGGGTACTGTAAAAGGAGGGGCTGTTTCAGCCTTCTTCCTATTGTTACGTACAGCTACGGCGGCTAACATGTTAAGTTATTCCTAACTAAACACCACTAGCTAGGAAAGCCAGTCTCCATAGCAGCTAAAATAGTTAGTTTAAACCTGGGCATACTGTAATAATTAAAGCGCGAATTTTGATTTAAATTTTCAAAGCCACACATGTATCCTGTAATGGTCTGGTTTAACGCCGCTATCTAACGCTGATTCAAAACAATTTTAATCAGACTTTAGAAAACGGCCACGTATTGAAACTGTGCACGTATTGAAATGTATTTACAGGTTGTGCAGTGAGAATTAATCTGTATAAACATAAAGC